TTGTCTGGTGCACTTCGCGTGGTGCACTTCATTTGGAGTACTTTGTCTAAAGCACTTCATCTGGTGCACTTTGTCTGGTGCGCATTTGTCTGGAGAACTTTCATCTGGAGCACTTCGTCTGGAGCACTTTCGTCAGGAGCACTTTGTCTGGAGCACTTCGTCTAGAGCACTTCGTCTAGAGCACTTCGTTTGGAGCACTTCGTCTTGAGCACTTTATCTGGAGCACATCGTCTGGAGCACTTTGTCTGGAGCACTTCGTCTGGAGCACTTCGCTTGGTGCACTTTGTCTGGAGCACATTCATCTGGAGCACTTCATCTAGAGTACTTCTTCTGGAGCACTTTAGTCTGCAGCATTTCATCAAGAGCACTTTCGTGTGGAGCACTTCGTCTATAGCACTTCGTCCGGAGCACTTCGTCTGGAGCACTTCGTTTGGAGCACTTTGTTCAGAGCACTTCATTTGGTGCACTTCGTTTGGTGCACGTCGTCTTGTGCACTTTCGTCTAAATCACTTTCGTCTAGTGCACATCGTCTACTACACTTCGTCTAGAGCACTTCATCTGGAGCACTTCGTCCGGAGCACTTTGTCTGCTGTACATTTATCTGGTGCAATTTTGTTTCGAGAAATTTCTTCTGGTGCATCTTCGTCTAGAGCACTTTCGTCTGGAGCACTTTGTCTGGAGCACTTCGTTTGGAGCACTTCATCTTGTGCACTTTCGTCTGGAGCACTTTTGTCTGGAGCACTTTCGTCTGGTGCACTTTCGTCTGGAGCATTGGGATTGTTCGAAGACTTGCTTGCAAGGAAACAGCAGCTATGAAATCTGTTGCCTTGCAGGAACCTGCAGCCAAGAACAGCGGGAGAAACAAGCTGCAGAAAATTCCTCCAACACACACCCAGAGCATGTTCAGTTGAATTCTAGAGAACCGACTTCAGTTTCGGTTTCGGACTTGGTGTCGGTTACCGAAATCCGAATTCCGCGGTTGCCAGAATTTTGCGGTTTGCAGAATTCCGCGTGTTATGAATTATAACTCAGAGTATAGCGCAGAATACTATAGGGGAACGTGATTACAGAGTGTCCTATCCAAATGAGACCTAGGGCTTATATAGTGCGAGTTGACCAGGTGGAATGTCGAGGGTTGGACCAGTCAAGGGCTCGACAGTCCGAGGGTGACGGGGTCAAAACGGGTTCATGGCGACTCGGGGTCAGGTTGGGGCCGAAAAGGTCGTTGGGGGCGGGTTTGGCATAGCCGAAGCATATTATGCATCAGACAGCACAGTAGCAGAACCTTCTACAGCTCTGCAGTCGTCTACATCAGAAGCTGCACAAGGTCCTTCCTCCCGTGACACAACACTTTTCGAATCATATATTCATTCGACACGTGCCAACAACATAGAAACCCCGCTCTTCATTCCCCTCTCGGACCCCTTGAGTCTTACCTATAATTATGAGGAGCACCTGCGCCGACAAAAAACAGACGCAGCATCACATGATGGTGCCCGCCATCTGCCATCCGAAATTGACGACAATGACGTCGTCGAATTTTGCCAACCTCATCCTCGTGGTGATCAATCGGCTCTTCAAATCCTTGGCCTCGCTGTTGCATTTCAGCAACCAACGGTTGGGATTGAGCCCAAAATAGTCAAGCAGACCCTCTCTGACTCTAATGCTGACAAGTGGCGAAAAGCTATGGATGCAGAGGTAGCAGCTCTCGAGAAGCGGAAAGCATGGAAACTCGCTCCATGCGAAGCAGCACGCGGCAAGAAAATACTTTCGGGCAAGTGGGTTTTTCGCATAAAGACAAACGCAGCAGGCGAACTAGACAGATTCAAGGGGAGATGGGTCATTCGAGGTTTCGAACAAACCCATGACATCAACTACGACCAGAATTTTGCTCCGGTCAGCCGCCATACCTCAGTTTGAATTCTTCTCGCCATTGCTGCCAGCCGCCATCAGCTGCTACGTGGTGAGAGGGTCACCAGTAGCGGCCTATGTACAGACTGCGCAGTCAATGGCCAATGGCTCTTCAAGGTGAAGCGCCCTCCTGGAGAGCTGCCTGTCTTTAAGGCGTGCTATGTTGCTCGTTGCTTCAGTCAGCGTGAGGGGGTGGACTTCTTTCAGACCTTCGCCCGGACCCCGAAGATGACTAGTCTTCGGGCATTACTACACGTAGCAGCACAGCGTGACTATGAGCTGCACTCCCTCAACTTCTCCATAGCTTTCCTCCAGGGTAGTCTACATGAGCAGGTCTACATGTGCCGCTCCCAGGGCTTCTCCGGTACCTTTCCCCCTGGTACCGAGTGGCCCCTCCGGTGCCCAGTCTACGGCTTGCGACAGGCGTCCCGTGAGTGGTGCGACACGCTGCGTGCTACACTTGCTGACCCCTCGCTCTTCGTCCGTTCTGGCCAGACTCCGTTCTACATCCTTGTCTACGTAGACGAACTGATCTTTGCTACTGCAGACAGAGACGCGCTGGCCTCCGTGAAGACCGGGCTGCAGAGGAGACACACCTACACTGATCTAGGAGAGCTGCGCCGCTACCTTGGCTTGCAGATCTCCAGGGACAGAGCAGCACGCACCATCAGTCTCTCACAGTCACACTTGGTGCGCCAGGTCTTTCAGAGATTCGGCCTTCAGTTCTCTTCCGCACAGCCAACCCCTCTACTAGTAGACCACAGACTCTCTGCTCCAGTCCCGTAGGAGGCTGTAGAGCCTAGTGGTCCCTATGCAGAGCTGGTGGGCTGCCTCATGTACCTGATGACTTGCACTCGTCCAGATCTCGCATACCCTCTCAGCATCCTGGCTCGCTTTGTGGCCACCGGCAGACATCGACCACATCACTTGTCGGTAGCTAAGCGGGTTTTGCGTTATCTAGCATGTACAACAGGCATGGGGCTAGTGCTAGGAGGACGCAGACTAGTGGTCCTTACCGAGCACACAGACGCTTCTTGGGCAGACGACGCCGAGACTCTCAGGTCCTCCCAGGGCTACTGCTTTAGCCTTGGTTCAGGTGCCCTCTCGTGGAGGTCCACTCGCTCCTTGTTTGTTGCCCAGTCTAGCTTTAAGGCTGAGATCTACGCCGGTGCCATGGCGGCACATGAGCTCCGCTGGCGGACATTCTTGCTCACCGACTTAGGTGAGCGGCCTAGCTCTGCCCCGGTTCTATACGCTGACAACAGGGCCATGATCCTCCTGTGTCGAGAGCCTAGACTCGAGGGCAGAGCGAAGCACATCCTTCCTCCTGCGTGAGCTACAGCAGTGTTGCCAGGCCCGCGTAGTGCACTTGGCCTCCGGTGCCAACACAGCTGACATCTTTACGAAGGCGCTTGCACCGAAAGATCATCAGCGGTACTGTGTACACCTAGGTCTCGTTCCTGTAGCCTCTCATTTGCTAGGACCTTGATTTTGTACATACCTTTATATATATATATATTACCCTGACTGGCCTTGTGGCCTCTTCCCAGTGACTGGACTTGTAGTGCCACCCTGGACTTGCTCTTGCCTTGTTTGTACTCGTTTGACTAGTCTGATAGACCCTTGCCTCAGAGGCTGGACTAGTAGTGCCTCCTTGAGATGCTTGCCTCTCACCAGGCACTGCCCCTATCCAATCTAGTGGGTGTGTCAAACATATCCTTGTATGTTGTTATAGATTACACAGGGTTGTGCCTCAGAGAGTACAACCCACTAGGTTATATTCCCTTGTATGCCATGGTTCTAGTCATTCGTTAATTTTGATACCTCCCTCACTTCCCACCTCTATACTCAGGGTCTAAACCTCCCTCACTTCCCACCTCTATACTCAGGATCTGAACCTCCTTCACTTCCCTTCTCTACACATGGGGTCTAAACCTCCCTCACTTCCCACCTCTATACTTGGGGTATGAACCCCCTCACTTCCACTTATGTATTTGGAGTCTGAACCCTTAGGTTCCAACACTTAGGTATATCTGTGTGTACTCTCACTCTACCATTCATTCACTTCTCTTATTCTGATATGGTATAACGCGTAGGTTAGGATCCCCCCCCACCTACCGCTTCCGCTCGCGACCCCCCTAGCCCCTCGCGCCCTTCCTGGGCCCCGACGCGCCCCTCCTGGGCCCCGTAGCGCCCCTCCTGGGCCCCGTCGCGCCCTTCCTGGGCCCCGTAGCGCCCCTCCTGGGCTCCGTAGTGCCCCTCCTGGGCCCCGTTGCGCCCCTCCCAGGCCCCGTCGCGCCCTCCTGGGCCCCGTAGCGCCCCTCCTGGGCCCCGTCGCACCCCTCCTAGGCCCCGTAGCGCCCCTCCTGGGCCTCGTCGCGCCCCTCCTGGGCTCCGTAGCGCCCCTCCTGGGCCCCATCGCGCCCCTCCTGGGCCCCTGTAGTGCCCCCGACCCTGGGCCGCGTCGAGAGCGCTACTTCCTTGTGCTTGTCGACGACTTCACTCGTTACACCACAGTCTTTCCCCTGGAGCACAAGGCCGACGTGCCTGGCGCTCTCATCCCCTGGCTTGTCTCTGCGCGTGTCCACCGCGGTCTCCCTGTCTTGCGTCTTCACTCAGACCGTGGTGGCGAGTTTGCCTCCGGTGTTCTTGGTCGCTTTTGTCGTGCGGAGGGCATCACCCAGACGTTCACCATACCGGACTCCCCACAGCAGAATGGGGTCGCTGAGCGACGCATCGGTTTGGTCATGGAGGTGGCTCGCACCTCCATGATCCATGCCGGTGCACCCCATTTTCTGTGGCGTTCGCTGTGCGCTACGCTACTCACCAGCTTAACCTGTGGCCGCACCCTCAGCAGCCGCAGGTTTCGCCGACCCGTCTTTGGACTGGGTCTCCTGGTGACGCGTCTGCGTTCCACGTCTGGGGCTGCCTTGCTCACGTTCGTGCCTCCGGCACGGACAAGCTCACTGCCCGCACCCTTCCCTGCGTCTTCCTCGGTTTTCCTCTTGACGCGTCCGACTGGCACTTTTACCACCCGCCGTCTCACCGCTTCTTTCACTCTCGTGACGTCACCTTTGACGAGTCCGTCCCCTACTACCGTCGCTTCCTCCACCGTGGTCACCCGGTTACCCCCCCCCTGTTCCTGGTCACTCCTTCCCCGGTAGTCCCTGCCCCTCCTCCTCCTCCTCCCCGTCCCGCCCCCTTTGGTGTGTCCCACGTCACCCCCCTTCCGTCGGAGGACCCGGTTGAGGAGTCTTCTGACTCTGGTGGCCCTCCTGTGCAGTCCTCGCCGGCCGCCCCTCCCCCGGCGTCCCCTCCCAAGTCCCCTCCTCCACCGCCTCTGCCGCCGCTGCAGCCGTCGTTGTCGCTGCCGCCGCAGCCGCCGCCGCCGCCGCCGCCACCGTCGCAGCCCCCGTTCGCTGACTCTGGGGGTGCTGGTGTGGAGAGTGCCAGTGGTAGCCGAGGAGCAGCTTGCGGTCCAGGTGTCGCCGTTGTGCCGCCGCAGCAGCAGTCCCCGCCGGTGTCAGCCCTTCGCCTGCTCGGCCTTTCCGTTTCCCGACCCTGCGTCTGTTCCTCCCCGACCGTCTCCTCCTCTTCCTGTCTACGGCCCTGTTTTCCCTCCGCCGGACTCGTCCCCGGCCTGTCTCCCCCCTCGTTCCCCTCCTGTGTCCCTCCTCTGTCCCCTGACCCGAATCCTCCGTCGCACGTCTGGTCTCACCGTCCCTCCCGTTCTCGTCCTGCCTTGCCTGTCTTGCGCTCCCACTTTATGTTGCTTCGTTCCCACGCGTCTCGTCCTCCCCTTCTGCCGTCGCCTCCTCCGTCCTCCCTTGTTGTTGCACCCCCCCCGCTGTCTGACTACCTTCGTGCCACTCGTCCCCTTGTTCCTCGGGTCCTTGCCTCTCTCGTTACCGACCCGTCTGTTCCGGTCTCGTGCCTCGACGCTCTTGTCGCTGACTTCGCCTCTACCCGCCGCCTTGACTACGCCACAGCTCTGGTCTCTGACCCTGCCTGTCCTCCGTCTGTCGGGGGTGCTCCTGCCCTTGGCAGTGACGTCCTGGAGGACCGCCAGTTCGAGCTTGCTTTCCTCTCCGAGGCTGCTCCCCATCTCTGTTCCATGCTGCTAGTCCCTGAGGGTGACCCAGACGCTTTCGACATCCCGACCCCTCGCACTTACGCTGAAGGCGACCTCGGGACCCTGGGCCTCGCAGTGGATAGCTGCCATGGAGCAGGAGATGGCATCTTGGAGATCCACCGGCACCTTCGTCGACGCAGTTCCCCCGCCTGGGTGAACGTAGTCGATGGCCGCTGGCTCTTCAAGGTGAAGCGCCCTCCTGGAGAGCCGCCTGTGTTCAAGGCGCGCTATGTGGCTAGAGGCTTCAGTCAGCGCGAGGGGGTGGACTTTTTCCAGACCTTCGCTCCGACCCCGAAGATGACTACTCTTCAGGTTCTGTTACACCTAGCTGCTCAGCGTGACTACGAGCTTCACTCCCTCGACTTCTCCACTGCCTTCCTTCAGGGCAGCCTACACGAGCAGGTCTACTTGCGTCGCCCTCAGGGCTTTACTGGCACCTTCCCTCCTGGGACCCAGTGGCTCCTGCGGCGCCCCGTCTACGGCCTGCGCCAGGCTCCCCGTGAGTGGCACGACACTCTCCGTGCTACGCTTGCTGACCTGCAGTTCTTTCCGTCTTCGTTCGTTGCTGGCCAGACTCCGTTCTACATCCTTGTTTACGTTGACGACCTGGTCTTTGCCACAGCAGACAGGGACGCACTGGCCTCCATGAAGGCAGAGCTGCTGAAGAGACACACGTGCACTGACCTTGGAGAAATTGCGCCGCTACCTTGGCTTGCAGATCTCCAGGGACAGAGCATCGCGCACCATCACCCTGACTCAGTCACACTTGGTGCGCCAGGTCCTTCAGAGGTTCAGCTTCAGTTCTCCTCTGCACAGCCCACCCCTCTGCCTGTAGACCACAGACTCTCCGCTCCAGTGTCTGAGGAGTTTGGTAGAGCCCAGCGGCCCCTACGCAGAGCTGGTGGGTTGCCTCATGTACCTGATGACTTGCGCTCGCCCAGATCTCGCATACCCTCTGAGCATCCTGGCTCGCTTTGTGGCACAAGCAGACACCGACCGCAGCACTGGTCTGCCGCTAAGAGGGTTCTGCGCTATCTTGCTAGTACATCGGCATGGGGTTTAGTGCTAGGAGGACGCAGGCCAGTGGTCCTTACTGGACACACAGACGCTTCGTGGGCAGACGACGCCGAGACACTCAGGTCTACCCAGGGGCTACTGCTTCAGCCTTGGCTCAGGTGCCGTCTCGTGGAGAGCTACCCGCTCCTCGTCTGTTGCGCAGTCCAGCTGTGAGGCTGAGATCTACGCTGGTGCCATGGCGGCACAGGAGCTCCGCTGGCTGACCTTTCTTGCTCACTGACTTAGGTGAGCGGCCTAGCTCTGCCCCCGGTCCTGTTCGCTGACAACAGGGCCATGATCCTCCTGTGGTCAGAGAGCCTCGACTCGAGGGCAGAGCGAAGCACATTCAGCTGCGGTACTTCCTCCTGCGTGAGCTACAGCAGCGACGTCAGGCTCGCGTAGTACACTTGGCCTCAGGTGCCAACACGGCTGATATCTTTACGAAGGCGCTTGCGCCTAAAGATCATCAGCGGCACTGTGTACAGCTTGCGTCGTAGTTCCTGTAGCCTTTCACTTGCTAGGACCTTGACTTTGTACTGTCCTTTATATGTATACTCAGACTGGACTTGTGTCCTCTTCCAGTGGCTGGACTAGTAGTGCCGCCCTGCTTCTTGTTCTTGCCTTGTCTGCTTACCCCTTCTGACTGGTCTCTCAGACCCTTGTCTCAGAGGTTGGATAGTAGTTGCCGACCTGAGCTGCTTGTTTAGGACATTCCCCTATGCAGTCTAGGGGGTGTGTCAAACATGTGTATTTGTCATGTTTGTATAGATGTATAGGGTCACCTCTTAGAGGGTACACACTTAGGTATTCTGTGTGTACTCTCACTCTACCATTCATTCACTTCTCTAATTCTGATACAACTCCCCCCTCTCTTCCCTCTCCACACTAGGGTCCTGAACCCCTTCACTTCCCACCTCTATACTTGGGGTTTGAACCCCCCTCACTTCCGTACCTCGATACTTGGGGTCTGAACCCCCCTTACTTCCCTATCTCTATACTTAGGGGTCTGTATCAGAATTGAGAGTTGAATGTTAGATAGAAAGAGAGTACACAAGTATATACCTCAGGGTTTGTACCCTCTAAGAGACTACCCTATACAGTCTATACAAACATGACAAGTACACATGTTTGACACACCCCCTAGACTGCATAGGGGAATGTCCTAAACAAGCAGCTCAGGGGCGGCACTACTAGTCCAACCTCTGAACAAGGTGTCTGAGAGACCAGTCACAAGGAGTACAGACCAAGGGCCAACGAGCAAGAGCAGGGCCGGCACTACTAGTCCAACCACTGGGGAGAGGACACAAGTCCAGTCTGAGTATACATATAAAGGACAATACAAAGTCAAGGTCCTAGCAAGTGAGAGGCTACAGGAACTAGACCAAGCTGTTACACAGTGCCGCTGATGATCTTTAGGCGCAAGCGCCTTCGTAAAGATATCAGCCGTGTTGGCACCTGAGGCCAAGGTGTACTACGCGAGCCTGACGTCGCTGCTGTAGCTCACGCAGGAGGAAGTACCGCAGCTGAATGTGCTTCGCTCTGCCCTCGAGTCGAGGCTCCTGACACAGGAGGATCATGGCCCTGTTGTCAGCGAACAGGACCGGGGCAGAGCTAGGCCGCTCACCTAAGTCAGTGAGCAAGAAGGTCAGCCAGCGGAGCTCCTGTGCCGCCATGGCACCAGCGTAGATCTCAGCCTCACAGCTGGACTGCGCACAGACGAGGAGCGGTAGCTCTCCACGAGACGGCACCTGAGCCAAGGCTGAAGCAGTAGCCCTGGGTAGACCTGAGTGTCTCAGCGTCGTCTGCCCACGAAGCGTCTGTGTGTCCAGTAAGGACCACTGGCCTGCGTCCTCCTAGCACTAACCCCATGCCCGATGTACTAGCAAGATAACGCAGAACCCTCTTAGCGGCAGACCAGTGCTGCGGTCGGTGTCTGCCTGTGGCCACAAAGCGAGCCAGGATGCTGAGAGGGTATGCGAGATCTGGGCGAGTGCAAGTCATCAGGTACATGAGGCAACCCACCAGCTCTGCGTAGGGGCCGCTGGGCTCTACCAACTCCTCAGACACTGGAGCGGAGAGTCTGTGGTCTACAGGCAGAGGGGTGGGCTGTGCAGAGGAGAACTGAAGGCTGAACCTCTGAAGGACCTGGCGCACCAAGTGTGACTGAGTCAGGGTGATGGTGCGCGCAGCTCTGTCCCTGGAGATCTGCAAGCCAAGGTAACGGCGCAGTTCTCCAAGGTCAGTGCACGTGTGTCTCTTCAGCAGCTCTGCCTTCACGGAGGCCAGTGCGTCCCTGTCTGCTGTGGCAAAGACCAGGTCGTCGACGTAAACAAGGATGTAGAACGGAGTCTGGCCAGCACGAACGAAGAGCTGCGGAAGACGGAAAGAACTGCAGGTCAGCAAGCGTAGCACGGAGAGTGTCGTGCCACTCACGGGGAGCCTGGCGCAGGCCGTAGACGGGGCGCCGCAGGAGCCACTGGGTCCCAGGAGGGAAGGTGCCAGTAAAGCCCGGAGGGCGACAGGTAGACCTGCTCGTGTAGGCTGCCCTGAAGGAAGGCAGTGGAGAAGTCGAGGGAGTGAAGCTCGTAGTCACGCTGAGCAGCTAGGTGTAACAGAACCCGAAGAGTAGTCATCTTCGGGGTCGGAGCGAAGGTCTGGAAGAAGTCCACCCCCTCGCGCTGACTGAAGCCTCTAGCCACATAGCGCGCCTTGAAGACAGGCGGCTCTCCAGGAGGGCGCTTCACCTTGAAGAGCCAGCGGCCATCGACTACGTTCACCCCAGGTGGGGGAACTGCGTCGACGAAGGTGCCGGTGGATCTCCAAGATGCCATCTCCTGCTCCATGGCAGCTATCCACTGCGAGGCCCAGGGTCCCGAAGTCGCCTCAGCGTAAGTGCGAGGGGTCGGGATGTCGAAAGCGTCTGGGTCACCCTCAGGGACTAGCAGCATGGAACAGAGATGGGGAGCAGCCTCGGAGAGGAAAGCAAGCTCGAACTGGCGGTCCTCCAGGACGTCACTGCCAAGGGCAGGAGCACCCCCGACAGACGGAGGACAGGCAGGGTCAGAGACCAGAGCGTGGCGTAGTCAAGGCGGCGGGTAGAGGCGAAGTCAGCGACAGCAGCGACAAGAGCGTCAAGGCACGAGACCGGAACAGACGGGTCGGTAACGAGAGAGGCAAGGACCCGAGGAACAAGGGACGAGCGGCACGAAGGTAGTCAGACAGCGGGGGGGGTGCAACAACAAGGGA